TAAAGCTAATGAGTACCTGCCTTATAGAAAATAAATATAATTGTTTTTCGTATGGTGTTTACAAAGTATCAGTTTATTTTAGAATGTGAAATAAGAAGACAGTCATGTCATCTCTAACATAGTACACTATTCACTTGGTGTTGTTTACTTACTTCCCACTGTTATTTAGGACTGCAATTTATCCGTCTCTTGTTGGCATATGTGCATACTGTGCGGACTGCCACGATATTGCCTAAAGTCACAAGCTTTATAGTACACTATTACTTCCTTAATCGTATTTTAAAATGCCTGAAGTTACCAATCGGTAGTGTAGAATTATAAAACGTAGGTGGTCAGTCGGTAAGTAATCGTTTTTGGGTTGTAAAATTTTCTGTAGCATCGTAAGGTAAAAAAATAGGACATATCAGTTTTAAAGTTCAACCTACGTAATTTGAAGATTTTGATGATGTCACTGCAAATCCTTCTGTATAATCAGGGAAATAAATTGAATTTGTTGGCTTATTCTTGAGAGAGTTTACAATTTTTAAAGATCTGTTTGATCACAGTTGAATGGCTCTTTTTAGCAGCAAGCAGTGATTTTTGGCAGAGATAGTAAAATGCACAAATCACTCAAGTATTTTTTTTTGAATGAACACTGCATATAGTGTAATTTCTTGGTAAATAGGTGAACATGATATGTTTAGTACTGCTACCACTCTTGCTTTTATTTATGCCTCAAGATCATTCATAATTTTCTGCACCGGCCTGATAGTTTTCGATCTGAGGGGGTAGTTATAAGCTGATTGTACAGAAGTCAGTAATACTAACGAGTTAAACAATAACAGAGAAATTTAATAAACAACATATATTGTTACTCATTTCAAAGTATTTTCAATCTTATTTAAAATAATCACTAATTTTACTATTTCAACTTATACCAAAATCGAAATGACTGATCCATATATATCAGTCATACCTTATATTTCTAAAATAATTCAGAACAAAATTGACATTGTTTTATCATGTCCCCATATTCTGGCTTGACTATTGTTAATATATAAATATTCACTCAGTTTTTATATATATACAGCCGAATCTGCGTTTATGAAAGGTCAATATGATGGAAATTATATATACAATTAAGACTAATGAACATGCTTCCTATTATACTTAGAAATCTGAATATTTACACTTTACTGTTCTTGAATATAGAAGTGATTTGACCACTCGTCAAACACAAGTAATTGTACTACTTATACGTTTATAAGAAATTGTATAATGTTACACTCAACAATATTTAGTTTCGCATAAAATGGAAATGTTTTTGGATGAACAAATTAGTTTTATCAGTTTAGGGGTTGTGGAGATTGTTAAGTTTTTTTATTGAGATCATGAACCGATCGATGTTAGATCACCATTAAAAACCTGGAAGCACTGGACGGCCGTTCAGTTAATCAAAAAAAAATTAGTCTTAGTAATTTTACAGTAAAGATTTAAAGGAAAAAATGTATATAAGAAATCCAAGACTTTTTTTAGATGTATACTAACAACTTATTTATTTTATTTGACAAGATGGTAATTTAACACATTTTACAAACATATATACCTGGTAAGGACTCTATTCTTATTCACGGATTTTTACTGTTGGATAAATGTTTTGAATATTAATTTGAAAACACTTTTCTAATGAAAGAAGAAAGTTTACCTGAAACATAAAAGGAGTACAGGGTTATGGACTATTTATAATACCTATATCGATCTATTACACTTATTTCATCTAATAAAACGGAAACACTCTGTAGATTACTTGGAATGAATAATTAGGTAAGATTAGATACATGGAAGTAGTGAGTTTATAAATAATGATAGTAATAGACATCCTTTTTTAGAACACGAATATAAATGTGGATCATAATACGTTAATTACTTTGAAGCTGAACAGGACGAATATTCCTATTTATGGAAACTAGTAGGATTGTATTACTAGAAGATAATGACAAAATATCATAGTTTTTAGTTTTCACTCCTACTGTAGTAAATTCGTATATAAAGTTCCAACTCTCTGGCTGTAAGTATCGATCAGTTAACGAGCAGTAACAAGTGTCGCATTGTTTAATTGCTATACCATTCTTCTGAAGTTTAAAAATCTGATCACTGCATTATGTATATAAAGTGTGGTACCTGTTGCTTTCACTTGGACCGATGAAAGTAAACAGCAAGACGCCTGGCTAAATGAAAACATTGTTGCGTCAACAGATCAAGTGGATGTGTATTCCTGACAGCATCAGTTCTAATAAGATTCCAGATACATTTTGATGGTCAATGATAACTAGGATAAAACTTTGGAAAAGAGCTTTTCTAAAAGTATTTTTATGTATTTGTCATTGAAAGCAATATACTTTTCATAAAACCTAACATTAAAATTTGTATGAAGTAAACGTTTCTACTTTATTTAATCTTTAGATGAGAAGAAAATAATAGTTTGTGATTGTAATTTTTCATTTGATAGCGTGGACAGAACAACACTATGGAAACTTCTTCGACACTACGGCGTGCCTCAGAAGATAGTCAATATCATACGTAATTCCTATGATGGATCAAACTGCAAAATCGTGCATGGAGGACATTTGACAAACTCGTTCGAGGTAAAGACCGGTGTCAGGCAAGGTTGCTTACTCTCACCCTTTCTCTTTCTCCTGGTGATCGACTGGATCATGAAGACGTCAACGTCTGAAGGGAAGCACGGGATGCAATGGACATCTAGGATGCAGTTGGAAGATCTGGACTTCGCAGATGATCTGGCCCTTCTATCCCAAACGCAACAACAGATGGAGGAAAAGACGACCAGTGTGGCAGCAGCCTCAGCAGCAGTAGGTCTCAGTATTCACAAAGGGAAAAGCAGGATTCTCCGATACAACACAGAATGCACCAATCCAATCACAATTGACAGAGAAGATTTGGAAGATGTAAAAACCTTTACATATTTGGGCAGCATCATTGATGAACAGGGTGGATCTGATGCAGATGTGAAGGCGCGGATCGGCAAGGCAAGAGCAGCATATTTACAACTGAGGAACATCTGGAATTCAAAGCAACTGTCAACCAACACCAAGGTCAGGATTTTCAATACGAATGTCAAGACAGTTCTACTGTATGGGGCAGAAACCTGGAGAACTACGAAAGCCATCATCCAGAAAATACAGGTGTTTATTAACAGTTGTCTACGCAAAATACTTCAGATCCGTTGGCCGGACACTATTAGCAACAACGTACTGTGGGAGAGAACAAACCAGATCCCAGCGGAGGAAGAAATCAGGAAGAAGCGCTGGAAGTGGATAGGACACACATTGAGGAAAGCACCCAACTGCGTCACAAGACAAGCCCTCACATGGAATCCTCAAGGCCAAAGGAAAAGAGGAAGACCAAAGAACACATTACGCCGAGAAATGGAAATAGACATGAGAAAAATGAACAAGAATTGGATGGAACTAGGAAAGAAGGCCCAGGACAGAGTGGGTTGGAGAATGCTGGTCAGCGGCCTATGCTCCATTGGGAGTAACAGGCGTAAGTAAGTAAGTAAGATTGTAATTTTTGGTAGCCTTAATCATAAAAGTGTTGTATTCAGATAGATATCAGTATTTTATTGAATCATAAGCCATAACAATACACACGACATTTAATGTTAACTTACTGCCAAAATACCATAGAATTCGATAAATGGGAGTACTAATTTCATTACTGTAAGTGGATAAGAGAAACTTTTAAATTAAATAATATATAAGACACATTTTATGACGTCTAGTTTCACTTCATCTGCAAATATAACTAATCAGTGGGTGAATTTTGTTTTAAAAAAGTCAATTACAAGTAGAGTAACGAAAACTAATTTTATAGTTGAATTCATGATTCATTTGAAGCTAAACCACTATGGAAAACCTGGGAACACTAGACAACCCTTTTCGTCCTAGTATGGAACTCTTTCTGATAATAATCATCGTATGTTCACTAATGACTGACTTAAAGAAGTATTTCCTGGAGTTCTTGTGAGAATCAGTAACCAGTGGAGTTCATCCGGGTCTATTGTGCGATAGTAACTCACTGAAGAAAATGGTGGTTCAATTTCGTGGATTAGTTGAAGTTAGATAATAACACCTTTCAATAACGGCTAGCTCAGTGGTCTAAAAGTTAAGTGTTCGCGCGCGAGACTGATAGATCATCGGTTAGAATCTTGCGGGGCGGGATCGTAGATGCGCACTGGTGACTAGTCTCATACAAGGATAAAACGGCCGTCTAGTGCTTCCAGATTTTCCATGGTGGTATAACTTCAATTGACTCATGAATTCAATTATAAGAAAACCAGTTCACCAATTTTCCATTATTATACAATAAAATTCAACAACAATATGATATGAAATTCGTTTCTTATTGAAAACAAAAGCATAACGTTCATTATTGATTTGTAGTAAACGATAGACTTATACTATATATATATATATAAATTTCTGAGAATGATACATATACGATTGGATCGATAATTTCAATAAGCCTAAAACTCTGGAAATAATGTCACACACACATACATACAAAAACGATCAAATAACAAGAAAGAGATTGTTGTTTCCAAAACGAAAATACACAAGAATATGAACAAAAATGGTAACTGATAATATATTATGAGAAAAGTAGATGGAAATAATCAAAAAGAGAAAGAACCCATAAAAATAAACAAGAAAATCCTTAACAAAATTGTATCACAAAAGTAGAATAGGAAGAAAAAAAAGAAAATGAAAGGAAACTTTTGTATCTAGGGTAACTAATATTTTACATGAATATATATATATATATATATATATATATATATATAAATCAATAAATAAACAGCAATTGTATTTGGTAAAGATCCTTTCGCTTTATGGAAAACAGGTCATCTCGAAATAAAAAAAAAGTTGCTATACAAAACACTATTACAATAACTATGTTCCGTACAGTTTTATTCAGTAGTATATATATATATATATATATATATATATATATAATTTTTATTTAGTAAATGCATTTTTACTTCTCTATTTCGTTCTATTATTAATAACCAAGTTTAATTGATTAATGATCTTGATTATATGAATAATGCATTTTTTGAATTATGTATATTTAGGTATGTTTACAGTGGATTTGTAAAGAAATTTAACAGTATAAAAGAGTTGAAAATAAGAGTAGAGTACTCATATTCCGTGACTTAAAAAAAGAAATCAACTCATATAATGATCGAATGAAGCTAAATATTCAAGAGTAGCTGCATAACAAAATGCATATTGATCAGATGTTTGTATAGTATTGATTCGTTGGGTACGTAACATTCGTGTAATCAGAAACATATCTACCATACCTTCAGATCTCATTCTGTCTAATAAAATACTTAAACATATAAATACACCGGTTCTTCCTGATCCCGTACTATACAAATGAAATGAGATGAAATGAAATGAGAAATCAGATATTATTTTAGTGAAATAACGACAATTAATTAAATACAATTAACAAACTATAGGTAAATTCACTTGATATTGTTTTACTTGAATTTTCCCATTGATGTTTTTGGACTGAAATTGGTCAGTCTCCTATTGGCATATGTGCATACTGTGCGTATGCCTCGATATTGCCTAAATTTACAAGCATTATAAGCAAAGATGGATAGTGGCTAGCAGTGGAATCCAGGACGCGCGTTCCGTCCTGTTTGGGACTCGTCAGCTGGATGTACCTGCATCTCAGAGTTGATGTTCACTCTGGGACTCGAACTCAGTACGGTTCGTTCCAAACGCCATCGCGTTATCCACTTAGCTACTGAGTCCTGACAGATAAGAGACTGATCAATTTCAGTCCAAAAACATCAATGGGAAAATTCAAGTAAAACAATATCAAGTGAATTCAACTTCAACCCATTGCACAAGCAAGTGGCTATCAGGACTCAGTAGCTAAGTAGATAACACGATGGCGTTTGAAACGAACGGTACTGAGTTCGAGTCCCAGAGTGAACATCAACTCTGAGATGCAGGTACATCCAGCTGACGAGTCCCAAACAGGAAGAAACGCGCGTCCTGGATTCCACTGCTAGCCACTATCCATCTTTGCTTATAAAACTATAGGTAAGTTTGTCTCATTTATAGGAACTTAATAGTCAACTGAATACTAGACAACATTCAGAATAATCATGAATAATGACTAGGTAAGTATTTATCTCATGGACCTATAAATATTCTGTGCACGTTTATCAATAAATAAAGTCAATGGCAATTTGGCTTAAGTGTTTTCATTGTAACTATTTTTTTTACTTATTCCAAGACAAATACTTACCCAAGAATAGCAAGTATGTTATCTAATAGCCGGTGAAACTATGCGCTTGATTAATCCGTCAAATGTTTTCTTCAAAATCCATGAAATTTACTGGATTTTTGAAAACACATGTTGGAAATATGGAAATACTGGCATAAACAAGGCACTTTTTAAACTGTACGTTCTACGACGAAAATAGCTAAATTGTACATTGTATGAAATAGTAAAACTTCTCAACACTTCAAGTTAAATATATATTGAACACAACTAAAAGTGATCATCTTTTATATCCTCAGGATTCATAACTAACATTTTGAAATTATTAAGACGTTGTGTAGATTTATACCATTAACATGTACCTATATAAAATATAAGTATTGGACATTAAAAGCAAACTATTATACATAATTTGTAATTATTTCTTACATACAGTATCATGACTATTTATTAAAGTTTTCATTATAATTAACAGAAGATCTAGAAGGTAAACGTGAATTATTAGGCCATTTAATATGAGAAAGAGAACTATTATAATTTACTCCTTGTAGAACATATACTTTCTACTACAAAGCGGTCTTTTAAGGAGTATTAATTATTAGTTAAGTAAACTACTGATAATTAATAATTTTGTTAGATTTTAAAAAAGAAAGTAAGTAAACTAGTAAAAATTAATTTAAATATTTACAATTATAAAAATTATCTAAGATTTACTTACTTGCAATGCACAGTTATAGGACCGTCTTGTCCAAATTGAATTTGAGTTTTATGCACTTGTCCAATTAAGTCAATAATAGCTTCAGCAGATTTAGGTACTATACTATCATGTGGCCATCCATGCAATTGAAATTGTCTTAAAGTACGTGATTGACCATCTGTTGTATTAGTTAATCGAAATTCACGTAATATAAAATGTGGCATATTATATTCAACCATAGGTTCAACCATTAAATTTTGATATCTTGTCGATCTATCACTTGGCCAATATTGATTAATATCTGTTGGTATTAAATTCATATCTCGAGCATCACTAAATGCAACTATTATAGGTGAATTACATTCCCAAATTAATCTCCAAAAATCATCTACTGTATGCGGTAAAGGTGTTTGTGTTGCAATATAAGCCCGACTCTTACGATATCCATCTATATAACTAGCATTAATATAATCTGATCCATTTACTCCGCGGATTAATGATAAACAAACACGATTAGATTCATAGGGGAGTATGTCAAAATCACGGTTTTTTGTTTTGTTATCATATGTCAGGGCTGTAGTTATTTGACGTTTATTTATTAAATTACGATTTAATCTCTGAAATGTAGAATTATTTAAAGAATTGAATAAAGCAAAAGTAAATAAATGAATAAACAGCTATGGATCATTTTCCTACAAACTAACCATAAGCCAGATAAATTATTACAGAGATTGATATATTTTTATTCAGGATAATCAATAAACAAGGAACCTCTTGATTTAACTTTAATGACTAAGATGAAATGTATCAGAATGAGAGATATATAACATCAATGGCAGAGGTCACTAATGGCTTTGTATCGCAAAGTGACCGAGATTAAAATAAATATCTTTCGATGTATACTTAAGAGTTTCAATTAGTTTTATTTGTCACAAAGTTTAAATGTTCAGAGTTTGATTCCTGTAAACATTAGTCTCTAAACTACTTGGTACCCTAACATAGTTACAATTATTTTGTATATATATTATGAAGAAATTAAATTAAATGAACTATGTTATGTTTTTGGTTGAGATCATGAATGAATTGATGTTAGACCACCGTTGGAAACCTGGAAGCACTGGACGGCCGTTTCGTCCTAGTATGGGACTCCTCAGCAGTGCGCATCCACGATCCCGCCCTCTGAGAGATTCGAAACCAGGACCTACTGGCTTCGCGCCTGAGCACTTAACCATTAGACCACTGAGCCGGCATCCAATGGTGTTAGTGTCTAACATCAACCAATTCACGAAATTGCGCGACCAACTTCCATTGTACACCATTGGATGCCGGCTCAGTGGTCTAATGGTTAAGTGCTCAGGCGCGAAGCCAGTAGGTCCTGGGTTCAAATCCCGCGGGGTGCGGGATCGTGGATGCGCACTGCTGAGGAGTCCCATACTAGGACGAAACGGCCGTCCAGTGCTTCCAGGTTTCCAACGGTGGTCTAACATCAATTCATTCATGATCTCAACCAAAAACTTAACAATCTCCACAACCCCCATGTTATGTTCAACTATCGTAATTTGCGAATTTTTATTAAGCTCATATATAGCCTTTGTATTTATAACACTTGTATATCCTTAGGGATTTTGTTCAGTATTCATGAACTATTTATCATTACACTAACGGAATATCACGTTTTTTACGTCTCGATGCTTCAAGTTTCTCAGCTGATTTAACATTCAAGGGGTTTTATATAACTATTTACACAATTTTGTCCCATTTCCTAGTATAAGTCGAATAAAAATTTAGTATTAAAACACTTATGTAATTGAATTAATTTCAGTTTAAATAAAAGTCAGTTAGATATAACTTAAAATTAAAAACTTAAGATATTTGTAACTAAATTAAAACAAACAATCATTTAAAGGTTTCCTTGGAAACATTTACTTACTTTAAATTCTAATTCTAAACTTGAAATTTTTATAGATGATGTCAAATGATTATTATCTTGTAAACCATTTGGTAATAAATTATAACCAGCTAAAATACATGTTGGTACAGGTTGACGTAATTTCACAACATGATTATATAATCCATGAGCTGTAACTTCAGTACCATGTACTTCAGCTGCTTCAATAAATACATCGTAGAGAAATGCATATTGTTCTTCTGTTTGTACCATAAAATTTCTTTGTGCACGCATTCTGCACACTGCACCAAATATATCAACTGAATTTTCATGTTTAAGTCGTTCAAGTTGAGAATCGATAACGATAAATGCGCCTAATAATAAAGGTTATTTAGTTCAAAAAAGTTAATTATAATCATTTAACAGAATTCTGTACATATTATTTTAAATGATTAAAGTCATAAAAGAGCTTCTAATCTATTTTGAAGATTGTAAAATTAAATATTGTGTAAGATTCATTTATTTTAGTTGAGGATAATGAATTTACTGGAGTCATGTAATTGAAAATATCTTTAGCATAATACTAGTTTGATTTTGCATGAACCTCCAGCAATAACATTGGGGTAAACAGTTACAGCAAGACGGAACAGAAATTTGTGTTAGGCAGTAGAATAAAATGAACTACCAATCGTCCATCAAATTGAATTTATGTATAATAGAAAGGATAACCAATCAAGATAGGAGTTCTATCGACAGTATGATATCAGAACACTTAATTCAGTGGTCATGATAAATAAAATTTGTTTTAGGCAAATTTTCAATTCGACCCTTATCGGGTTTTACTCTAATATACGATGAAATTTATATTCATATATGAAATTATTAAACAAACTAGAACACTTATCATAGTGCTATCAATCTATACTTTTTAAGTATTGGTTTTAATTATGTAATCTATTCTACTGTTATTGCTGACTCACAATTTACCTTGATTGGTTTGATATTTTCTCATATATACATATATATTATTGTATATCAGAGTAAAGTTAGATGAAGACCTAATTCAAAACCATTTTGATTGCTTATATATGTTGTACTTATTAATGATACAGGAATTTTGAAATATAAGTGAAATTTATAGATGAATTTCTGTTGTTCAGTCAGTGACTGAACTTCGCTTATAGTTCTTCTAAGATTGCTGCTGGCCCCAAATATCGGTAAAAGAAAGAACTTAACTAGAAAAAAAACAAATTAAACGATTTGTACTCTACCCTTTACGATGAGGAAATAATTATGACACCTCATGATTAAAACCGAGAATCTTCGGAATTCAAGAGGCCGATACACTTTCTGACAACCGGAGCAACGTTTAATATAGATATATGGGATGATCGAACAATGTGGGAGAAATGGAGGACCAATCAAATGGCTGTGAAAATTAACAGATACAAATTGATAGTTCGCACAGTAAGTGAAACTCATTGGATCCAATCTAGACGGAATAGATTAGATTCGGGAGAAATGCTGTCGTACTCTGTTCATGAAGCAGAAAACGATCCACATACTTACAGAATTCCTATGATACTGTCTAAACAAGCACGAAAAACACTGATAAGAAAGGAATCTCGTGCATTCAGAATCATGAAAACATCCTGCGAAACAAACAAGAAAAGAATCACAACGACTGCTATTCACTGCTACGCACCCATCAACGATATTGATGAAGACGATAATGATCAGTTTTGTGAGAGGCTACAGTCGATCATACAGAAGTGCACAAGAAATGACCTGATGATCTCCACGGGATTCCTAAACGCAAAAGTCATAATGGACAACACCATGTATGAAGAAATCACAGGAAAACATGGACTGACTAGGAGTAAACAACGAGAATGGTGATAGATTTGTAAATTTATGCTCATTCAACAAAGTGGTTATAGACAGTACAATATTCCACCACAAACAAATACACAAAACTACATGGGTCTCACTATATCACACTACACACAACCAAATGGATCATATCTGCATCAGTGAAATATTCAGAAGTTCAGTGGAAGACGTGAGAACCAAGAGAGGTGCTTACGTGGCTTCAGATCACCACTATCTGGTGGTTGCCAAGATGAATGTGAAGCTGAAGAAGCAATGAACATTGGGGGAAACAGTATTACAAACATTCAATACAGCCTTCCTTCGATATACTGACAAACTCGACCAATTCAAAACAGTGCTCAACGACAGGTTTCAAGACCTATAAAATATACTTCGAGAAGAAGAAACTACTAAGGAGGACAATTGTATGGGGATCAAAGAAGCACAAACTTCATCGTGTCACAAGGTGCTGGGCCGCGACAAGCATACTCATGAGGAATGGATCTGCGGCGAAACCCTGTACAAAATTCAAGAAAAGAACAAGAAGACAGTAATTGACGACATTCGAACATGTACTGAATAAATCAACACATAGAGACAAACAAGCAACTGACAAAGTGCACTATAGCTGACAAGCAGAAATACGTGAAAGGTTTCGCGACAATAGTGAAAACAGCTGTAAGATAAGGAAATATGTGACAACCATATAATGCGACGAAGAAGCTGACAGGGAAATATAGTAAAGGAGAGAGACCTGTCAAGGACAAAGAAGGCAAGCTAGTCACTGAGATTCAACAACAAAGGAACAGATGGGTAGAGCATTTGAATAACTTTTCAATAGACCAGCTACACTGAACCCACTGAACATCAAAGCAACACATACAGACCTCTCTATATATATATCGATCCATATACAATCGAAGAAATGAGGATGGTCATCAGACAATTGAAGAGTGGGAAGTCAGTAGTACCAGATTACAAACCGGCTGAAACATTGAAGTCAGACACAGGAGTAACTGCAATAAGGACAAGCGCCGACAGACTGGAAGTACGGATATCATGTATACTGATATACCAAAGTAAGGAGATCTGATCAGGTGTGAGAACTAAGAAAGTATCACACTACTATCGGTACCAGGAAACGTTTTCAACAGTGTTACTCCTTCATGATGGGTAACAGGCGTACGTAAATAATTAGTTACTGGGATGTTCTCATAATTTAAAAAGTCTTAAGTTCTAATACTTTTATTCCATTCCTACTTTTCTACTGAGATCCGGTCTTTCTTAGTTTAATCAGACGTTAAGCTTTTTTATCTACACTTATTAAAATGTCTACTTCTTTAAAAGGAGATGGTAATTTGATAAATTAATTCAGAAATTATCGTTTAAATTTAAACCAAGTCAGTAAAAGTGAAGTAGGGAGTGAAATTTACGATTTCTGACCAGGCTTTTCATGGACATAAAATATTTTAATTGTAACAGAAAACTATCACAGACACTCATTCCTATATTTTCGGATTCGTGAACAACAGGATCTATCTAGTTACAAATCAGTTAGATTGTTGAATGTCTGACCATCGTTAATTATTAATTTTTTCAAATCAATGGGATGAATGTCAGGATTAGTTAAACATTTGAAAAATAATGAAAGTACTGTAAAACTTAAATAAATTGTTACAAAGTGATGCAACAAAATTACCTGTACGACCAACCCCAGCTGAGCAATGTACAATCAAAGGTCCAATTTCATCGGAAAGGTTTAAATTCATGGAATTATGAATATCACTTGATTGTGATGATTTTAATTCTCTTGAATTAACTTTCTCATCATTAATTAAACGTTCTTGTTGTAGATGATGCATTAACTGTGAACGTACTTGACTAACACGTCGTATAAACAATAGTAATGGTTGAGGATAATCTGGTGTACCATAATCAGGCCATGCTGTGAATTGAAACTGTTTAATCTCTCGCTGTTCAATATTCATATTAGAATCATTAATACTCTGATGTTGATTGAAGGCAGCTGAATCAGTTTCCAGTAGATTAGTTTCATAATTACGTTGTAGAATAAATGTACGCAATGTGTAGTAAGCAAATTCTTGTGTGCTTTTTATAATCACAGTATATGTAGGCACTGTGGTGTAATTAATATCATAATTTACTTTACTGTTATACTCTTGTTGTTGGCATTGTTGCTGTTGTTGTAAAGTGAATACTTCTTTTCCTCTATTCGGCCAATATTGATCACATTTAATACGTGCTCTCTCTTCTAAATGTGTCATCATGACAATTACGCGACTGTTTTGCTCCCATACCATTCGCCAAAAATCATAAAATGTACCTGGCAATGGACCCTAAATAAATACCAAAAAAATGTTTCGCCTATAGTCGTAAATACAGATTTATTCATAAAACTGTTTAGTGGACTCATCTAAAAAATCTTATATGTGCCATGATTTGATTTTTCATACGTTGTAATGTGATCTCAGTCAGTGACTATAATTTATTATCCTTGTGATGGAAAACGATACTCATTGATACAAAATGACATTTAGATCAAATTTATCATGATTGAGAAGGTTTATACTTGATTTTGAAATTTGTTTGGAAACATTTCGTTAAATTTGTTAATGTTTCATTCTCTTTCTTGTTTATGTGATCTATTGTTGTTGTTGCTTAGGTAAACTCCCTGATCTATTTGTTTTATTGTTTTGGAGTTATTTTAAGTGCTAGCAATATCTGATATAAAATGTGCCTGAAAGGAAATCACATTTTTGATATGGAATTTTCATTATTTTCCGATTAGTACGGGATGATTTGCCTTTAAAGACAATGACCGTAGTTATATTTTGACAATTACAGTCATTTGAATCTAGAGATCGTCAAGTAAGCACAGTACTTCTATCTCACAGTTCATCAACATATTTTATGATTATTGAACAGCAAACTTTCAAGAATCTTTGATTTTTACTAGATTGTTTTTCAACAAATATCATCTCAGTATACGTTATAAGCTAGAGTGAATTAGTTGTTATACCGCTGACTTTGCGAAGATTAGGACTCTGAAGTGTGAACTTTCAACTTTATAAATAAACTATTTTCCCCAGAATTACCAAGTGATAATAGTTTATTCTCAATAACTATAAGTTATATGAGGTACGCCAATTTACATGCAAAATTAAATTCGAAATGTTTAATCTACATAGTGTGGAATACAGATCATGATTGTAGTTATATATTTTTCCCGCATAAAGTTAACATTATATTCATCCTAACATATGAATTCGATTGGCTCGCTAACATTATGCATTTCTGCGTTTTCAGTAAAATTTATACAGTGAGACATTATTCCAGCATAACTGTTCCTAACATAATTAACACATAAACATCTTTTTTGCAATGACACTTTAAGAGAAATCAAATTCATTAAAAAAAGCTAGTGATCGGTTTTGTGTTAAACTTTGTGGCAGCACAACCGAGTTATGAAAACTGAAGAAGTTGAGGCAGAGTTTGAAGCTACTGTAGTGTCGGTTACTATGTTAAGCCCATATAACTTATGTCTAGCTTCTGGACAGACCAATTTATCTCTCATTCTTGAGTCACGTTTTGGCCTTGTTAATTATTTGCTTATCAACCTTGACTGTTTTTATATGAGCGGATGCGTGTGTACATCTCATTCTACTTATCACATGTCTGTAACTTATTTTTGTTCTGACTATAAATATCGATTCACGCTTGATTAAATGGAGTTGGCTCACACACAATATCCACTGAGCTTCATTTCGCTTCGTTCTCTTCTCTTCGCTTTCTTTGCTTCGTTTCTTGGATCGTTTGTCTCGATCAGAAAGTGTACAAAATGTACCTATTCAAAACTTCATTCTCGTATTTGACTTATTTAATTCCGTTATTCACTAACGCGAGTTAAGTCAATGATTATATACAGGGATTAACGTTATGTATATTTCAACAACCCTTCATACGATCCATATAGAGTCAGACATCGGGCCACTAAACTACACTTTACCGGTTGGGAGCCAAGTTTATTAATTACTAATCTACCGACATTCAGTGTTGAAATCTAAATTAACTGTAAAATCTGACATGTAGCTAAAACATATTCCAAAGATGTTTTACAAAGTTCTATAACAATTTATAACACTTTGTGAGTGTTGTTGAAGACTGACAGTTTAATGCCAAGAAGATTTTTCTCTGAGTTTATAAAAATTGAACAATCTATATATCTCCAATATCCTTTTATATTGTTTTAAAGATATTTTGTGCTATCTTTAAACAGGAATCGCTCTGATTTTTAAGTCATCTTGTTGAAATACCAAAAATAACCAATAAATATATTCAGGACTTTAAAAATAGCTACATGGTCACTACAATTGCAAATGTTCCTTAAACTTTAACAAATTGTTTTCTTTTGTTTGTCTGAGTAGTTTAGGTAACGAAAGACATAAACTGACGCTTGTGCATGACTTCAAGTTTATGGATAATCACTGTATTGTGTTTCTTTATTAATTTGCTTGTTAGTTCTTTAAACAAGATATAACTACTAAATAAAACACCAAAATAACCCTTCAATAATAATGATAGCAGACTTGCTATACAGTGAGTATCGTAAGTGTGGTAACACTTGACCGGTATGGAATGAAAACTCAATACAATAATAATTGAACTAAGATTAGACCTAAGCAATTTTAGGATATTTGGATGAGAAAGAGCCTATTTGGAATTAACTGAAAAGCTTTTTGTAATTGAAATTTCTAATGTAAAAGATCAACTGCCATCGTAATGATAAATGCAATTAATATATGAAATCATATTTACTAAAAATAGAACTTCATTTCATTATGATATCAAAAAATACATATCATTCACCTGAGTTGCAATATACGCACTTTTCTTCTGATATCCGTCTATAAAATTAGCATTAATATAATCAGAACCTGGTATACGACTGATCTCGTTAAGAACTACACGTGATTGATCATATGCAATGATATTGGCATAACGATTTTTTGGTCTGTTCTCCTCCATATTAGCATGTTTCCATGTTAGGTCGTTTGGTGTTTCAATACTTTCATACTCTTCTGATATGCCTATTCCACTGTCACGTTTAAGTGTAGCTACATATTCTGGTAAGCGTAGTATCGGTATTGCTGAACGTATAGGTGTATGTACTGGTGTAGGATTGTCTAGAAATGAATAAATTGAAAAGAAAACTTGATAGTTTAATTCATTTTCAGTAAATAGAGATTAATACACGCAAGTATGCTCTACAATTTATTAGAATTTCAACCCCTCTATTCTTTGTAAGCGAAGAGTTGTCAGAAAATTTCAATCTGAAATTATTTCCTTTCATTGGTAAACAATGTGAATTTTCAGTGTGTTGAAATCCATAAGATGACCATTGAATTAGAGATCGTGTTAAATCATAAGTTCCAAAATTATAATCAATAAAACTATGCTGAAGGAATTACACTGCATTATAAAATAACTAAAAAAATCACAAATTTGCATTGTTGAGAAGGTATTGAAAGCCATAATTCATATAGAATAAATTGAATGAGTATTAGTTCTAGTTAGAAGCTTTCAGTTTGTTCTGAAGCATATTCCAATACTGAGTTCAACCAGTAGGCAGTGGAAATACTTTACACATTATTACCATCAGATATTAGGTACATATGAAATAAAATCCACTCAACATATTTTTAATAACGTTTATGTAACTTTTAATATTTGAAATCATGAGTCAATTGAAGCTAGATCACCATGGAAAACCTAAAAGCACTGGACGACCATTTCGTAATTATTATACACAAACGAATGTACAAAGTCAGTGTAAAATTCAGTTGATCGCTATACGTCTACCGTGTGTTGAGTTATGGATTTTTTATGATTTTTTTCAATTTCGTCCTTCATTTTCATCAGTTTTTTTTAATACTCATTAGTCACTTGAATGTTTTTTTGTTGCAAATAAATCTAGATATTCAATTCATAATGTTTGGTGAATTCTGCAGTCGTTTTTCATTTACGTGATATGTACAATACTAAAGAATTGTCGACTATGAAAAGACAGCTGTCTAAGGTTCATATGTTGTTCATAGTTCTCCTGTTCATTTCGTTCATTGATCGAAAACATTGACAAAACTTATTTCATGATTATAATAAAAATTGCACCTTTTGACAAAAAGAGATTCATAGCAATAGTTATGCGTAGTGTTAGATAGTGTAAAATCTTACTTAACCTGTTATCTTGTTGTTGAATAATCCTGATATCTTTTAGGATTATATTTTTGTATGTATATGCGACAAAGTATCAAAAGCAAATAGCACTGAGTTATACTATGAAGAATAAGTGTCCTCATGTAAGGACTAGACAAGCATGACATTGATCACCACCCAGTGATCAATCAATTGTGATTACATCTCAGTCCTACAGGAGGTTAGTCACGGCTCGGATAGCTCAGTGGTAACGTCTCTGACTGTGAAGCTGGGTGACACGAGATCGAATCCACCAGGGAGCACCAGTTCCCTCAAGATTACAGGCACACCTTGCTGACGAGTGCCAAGTAGCACGAAACCCGGGTCCAGGGTTTCCTGTTGACTACCTCCAACCACCATCTCAATCTCAAGTGTCCTCAATGGATAACAAAATCGCCTTAATTTAAAACCAACAAGTTATTAATTTAATGAATAAAGTTATTACATCTAACTAAAATCCGATTGGCATAACATAGAAGAAAGTACAAAATGAAAGAACTCCGATGATAATTTCTAGATAAAGTTATGAATACAACTCAACTGAAAGCTTTAAAATTAAAATAGTGAACTAACAAAGTTTCTATAGATACCTGAAGTTTTCGAATATTTATGACACAGCAGCATTCTACCTATTAGTACACTAATATATGTTAAATAACCGTAATTATGATTGTACAGTTTTAATAAATGACAATATTTAAAAGAAACGTTTCCTCTCTGAATAAACGTTTTCCATCAACAATTGAAACCTTTTAGAACTCATCCTTCAAAAGCATGACATGTGATCCGAATGATTCATTAAGGAAACTTATAGAATATTTCCAGTGTTCTATTTAAAGTTTATTAACTGAATTAGAATAAGATAACTTATTTCTGAAAATATCCTAAAAACTGACGAGTTAATAAACACAGCAGTTAGCGACCTGAGGTTATAGGCGTAAATAAATCAAGGGTTGATAGTAAAACGCAGAAGCTGTCTTAGCATGATGCTTCTAAACAATTCTTTATTGAAAGACAAACAATTAAATATAGAACTGAGTGTTTAGTGGAAGATTTCGGACTGTTAAAACAACTGGTCTTTCTGGTAAATTTGAATGGTGAATCTCTAAGACGGAATATTACCGGAAGTATGCGATACATTAGCTACATACAATTGTTTAGTTGACATTTTCTTATTTCATATACATAGATCTTAACAAATATACACATCTGGAAGCACTGGACGGCCGTTTCGTCCTATTGTGGGACTCCTCAGCGGTGCGCATCCACGACCTCGCTCTCTGCGAGATTCGAACCCAAGACCTACTGGATTCGCGCACAAGAGCTTAACCACTAGACCACTGAGCCGCCGTCCAATGGTGTTAATGTCTAACTTCAACTAATCCACGAAATTGAGCGACACATCCATATATATATATATATATATATATATATATATAACAAGAGATTGTCCGAAATATAGTCCACCAATATATTACATTGTTTTAATACTCTTAGTCTATTCACTAAACTACCTGAATTCTGGATTCTGCTAGTTTAGGTATGCTTGACCAATATGAAATTATAACTAATTTCCATATAAATGATTCATGTTCGTGAGAAATGATATTAAGTTACCAATCATACAAGATAGTCAAAGTACGAATAAATTTGATTATCTAACATAGGTTTAATAAATTACATTAAACAACCCTATCCAGTAAGATAAACACAATATATAGAATCTCTTTTTCATACATATCATTATCAAATTAATTTTTCATGGTACATGCTTATCTACCACTTAAATTTTGTTTAAAATGTATTGATAACTAAACAGTTTAATTCAAATATATGAGAGAAAGAAAATAAAGAAACAACGAAAATGATTGTTTTCAATGCCAGTTTCAAGCATAAATGTAATCACAAAAATTATTTAATTGTGAACTTTAAACTTAGCCTGTAGCCCATAAAAGATTATTGTCAATCCCGAAATCGGATAAAAGAGAAGCGTTTGGCATGGTATCTGCAACCACATCGCGTAGAAAACAACTTAACGCAAAAAACGATACTCAGAAATATGATCTAAACATATTCTGAGACCTCAAGGATCTTTGTTTACAAGAATTACGATGCCTTCTGATTACAGATGAGATTCTTCGGAATTCAAGAGGCCGATACACTTTCTGACAACCGGAGCAACGTTTAATATAGATATATGGGATGATCGAACAATGTACGAGACCAGGAGGACCAATCAAATAGCTGTGAAAATTAACAGATACAAATTGATAGTTCGCACAGTAAGTGAAACCCATAGGATCCAATCTCGACGGAATAGATTAGATTCGGGAGAAATGCTGTTGTACTCTGTTCATGAAGGAGAAAATGACCCACATACTCACAGAATTCCTATGACCTACTCAGAGAAGAAGAAACTACTATGGAAGTCAAAACAACTGTCAACCAATATCAAAGTCAGAATCTTCAATACGCACGTCAAAACAGTTCTACTGTATGGAGATGAAACTTCGTGAACTACTACAACCAACATCGAAAATGCGCAAGTATTTATAAACAATTGTTTACGTAAGATACTGAATTTCTGTTGACCGGATACCATCAGCAACAGATTACAATGAAACAGAACAAACTAGGTATCAGCCGATGGGAAAATCAAGAAAAGACATTTGAGGTCGATAGGACATACATTTCGGAAATCATCAAACTGCATCACGAGGCAAGCGCTAACTTGGAACGCTGAAGGAAACGGAAAAGTTCAATGAGCACACTGTGCCAAGAATCGGAAGCAGACATAAAAGGGATGAATAACAACTGGACAGTGTTGAATGGAGAATTCTGGCGAGGGGTAACATGCTAAAGTTAGTCATCAAGTATGTTTATACTGGCTCTTTCCTAAAAGTTGTATTAAATACATTATTATTCAATTATGTCACATGCATTTAGTTTCTTCTAAGGAAACTAAACATTTCCTAAACAGTATAAATAAACGTTTTTTTTGCATAGTACTTAATTTTGAACTGTTATTTTTTTCAAGTTCCTTCTTCTCATGAAAACTAAATAAGATACAACGTTTATTCCTTAATCAATAATCAGAGGAAAGATAAACGAAATAATAAATCTTGATATATATATATATATATATATATATATATATATATATATATATAGAGAGAGAGAGAGAGAGAGAGAGAGAGATAGCATAACCCTGATTTCTCCATACATTAGTTTAAAAATATTTTGTATTATATAAAAAGTAAGATTGTGGTAGTCTGATCCCATGGAAGATATTCCTATATATTCGTTATGTTTTAGCCGAACAACTGTTTATGATATTTTTCTTTTAAACAAATTTAAATAAACTTCGATGATTTTAATGAGATTTGCTATAATAATCATTGAGATTAAGAGAAACTCCGATAAAAGTGTATTATTATGGTGTTTATCGAGTCCAATACAATCTTAAACGCCAAAATGAATTGAATGATCACCTAGAACTGTTGTTTTCTCAATAACATTTTGTATTGTGAAGTGAATAAATTTCATTTAGTTTCAGAACAATAGTTTTACATCAATATTTAAAACGTCGCTCAACTAAATGCATTTAGGTAGACTGCAAGTCACAGGAAGTCGATTATTACAAACCTGCATTAACATGCACAAACTTATCCATATGGCTTGTCTGTATTACTGATTGTGTGAAGTAATAATATTTCCACTTTTTGAATAGGTCATAATAAGTAGTCAGGATGTTTTAATATACCACAGATAAAATTCGGTAGAAAAATGTTTTGTAGCCGAGGGATTTTTTACAATAACAGCATTGTGATGCATAATAAGACCTGGCCACAACAACAGAAGTGATCGTTAAGAACATTAAGAAAAGATAGGAGGGAGGCAATACGGAACGTGGAAAAGAAACAAATATCAG